ATTTAATGTTCACGGTTTTAGTGCGTGCACTCTAATGATTAGTCACTAACTATTTGTCAGTATCATTTTTTTATTTATTTCATGGTTGTACTGCACGTGCTCTATCTTAAAGTAGATATTAACTAGATTTTAGACTGGATTTCGTCATGATCATGGATCGGAAAACCACATATGTTAATGCCACTCCACTCTTAGCCAATCAAAGAACAAGTGGACGCACACTAACCAATCAGCTTCCTTGAATTCGGAAGTTACTAAATAGACAAATCACCACACGCTTTTAACTGTTATCGAAAATGTTCTATATATCTTAACTTTTTATCACTATTCTGATTGCCTAGCATTTAATGCTTTTAGGAATAAAGCTCTTAATCGATAGTGGTAATTGAGGGATTTTTTAAATTACCAATTACGATAAATTGAATTTCAAGCTAAAGCAGGGCGTAAGGCAGCTTAGCGCTTCCATTACCCTTCAATTTGGTAAAAACATATATCACTTAAAAACCTGCACGTTATCGCTAACTACTTATGGGGCGTCATACTTGGAACATCAGGTCACTTTGAATGCCCATAGAAATACTTAAAAGCAATAAAACGATGCGTCGATTAGCCTAACGATTGATGTGAACAAAATTAAAACATATTTTATGAATGAATGAAAAGCTTTATCTAAGCAGAATATTCTCTTCAGTAACAAAAGTACTGCTATCAACGGGAACCCTATAAACACAACCATCGATCTCCGTCAGGGGCTCTTCCGTGAGCTTCGCCCCACTCGTACCCACCTCCACAAACATTCACTATTTACCCCGAGAAAATCCCCATAGCAAGAGAAAGCCGCCGGAGCCTGATATTCAGGCTAGGAAAGAGAGAGGGCAACGCATCAGTCGAGATCGAATTGAACCTACCACCCCATAGTGTCGGCGAGAGACAGCGCCTTAAAATAGCAGCGAATTTCACCCATGTCAGCGACTCTTTAGTTATGTTAAGAAAAAGACGGATAGAAGAAAAAGAAAAACGAAACATAGGCGAGTGAACAGGCAGAGATGATTAATAAAGTTGACGACGAAAAATTGTCGTAGATTTTGTTTTCTTATATTTATGGTCACTATTTTATACGTCAGAGATATATGCCAAGCAAAACAATTATGGATAATATTCCAAGCGGATGAGTGCGCACATATATACCTAACAACCAAACAGCCAATAGTCGGTCTATATTACCACAGGGATACCACGCAAGCAATTGTCATTAGTGGTCAAATATGAACTAGTCACCAGGAGAAACGGAATATCTTTAGCACAGGGATACCAATGAAAAACTACGAGCGACATTCTCAAAACTATTTACTTTCAAGTAAAGAAATGTATCAGCAAAACTTACCATTCGCACGTGACATGTGATGTCGCTTTGACACGTGATTTGCTGAATGAGGGTCAAGTCGGGGAGTGACCAGAACTGAACGTCGATTCCATTTAAAGCGCAACACTGGGTGACCAATGTATGTGTGATTTGATCGTACTCAACATCAAGGATCTGAAAAGTCATCAGTAAGTACCCTTTATCGACACTATAAAGCAAGCTCTGGGCTTATCAAAAGTGAGGGCATGGCTAACTCACCAATTGAACCCTGAACTGAACAACCTCTGGGCTGATCTAAGTCATGGCATGGGTAACTCACTAATTGAACCCTGAAACAACCTCTAGGCTGATCTAAGTCAGGATATGGGTAACTCACTAATTGAACCCTGAAACAACCTCTAGGCTGATCTAATTCAGGACATGGGTAACTCACTTATTGAACCCTTAGACAACCTCTAGGTTGATCTAATTCAGGACATGGGTAACTCACTAATTGAACCCTTAGACAACCTCTAGGCTGATCTAATTCAGGACATGGGTAACTCACTAATTGAACCCTKARACAASCTCTRGGYTGATCTAATTCAGGACATGGGTAACTCACTAATTGAACCCTTAGACAAGCTCTGGGCTGATCTAATTCAGGACATGGGTAACTCACTAATTGAACCCTTAGACAACCTCTAGGCTGATCTAATTCAGGACATGGGTAACTCAAAGATGGAATTGGAATTTAGCGTGTTTGGTATTGTGGAGAAAGGAAAACTGGAGAACCCGGAGAAAAACCCTCGGCTCATGGGAAAAACCGAACAAACTCTACACACGTGATCTAAAGAAAAAGTAGCAGCATCAACAACAACAGCAGCATCAACAACAACAGCAGCAGCAACAACAACAGCAGCAACAACAACAGCAACAGCCACAGCAGCAACAACAACAGCAATACCAGCATCAACAACAAAAGCATTAGCATCAACAACAAAAGCATTAGCATCAACAACAGCAAAAGCATAAGCATCAGCACAAATAAAAGCAGCATCTATAACAGCAAGAGCAGAAACAACAAGAATAGTAGCAGTAACAAGTACAGCGTCAACAACAGTAGCAGTAGCACTAACAACTGCATACGTCTACAACGAAAAGTAATGCACCTCAAGCAGTGAATTAGAATTCGTAGTTTTTAATCTTACCATGCCTTTGTGTACTTTCAACTGAGAGTATTTCATTCCTTTACAAAACATGTGAAGAAATAAAACTCTTCCATCCTGCATTAAAGACAAAACGAAACAATATCAGTGTATTCGCTGCACTAACCAAGCAAACCCTATCACAAATGCAAACTTAATTGTGCGTTGCTTATTTGCACCTGTGTGAAAAGAGCTACACTGAGTCTACATCTGTTGCATATTATTTCCCTGTGTCGCAAGACGAAACCGCAAGCCAGAAAAGGCGGAAACTTTGTATGCAATCTCACTTGCAGGCAGCGCACCAACTCAACTATTCCACGCTCTCTTCTATTAAGACGATCTCTATCGAATCTTTGACGAAGGAGGGGGCGCATTCTAAGCAAATACACCCGTATAAATTCGAAACTGCATTGGCTCGACCTATTACGACATACCTCAGTTCCAGCTAAAAGAAAATGCGTAGCGTCAGGACAAGCCAGCCCTTCGATGGATTCTATAATTATATTAGAGTACAGCATGCCAAGACAGGTGAGTGATACACGTTCGTGTTGTGTATTGGATGCAGGATCAAGAAAAAGTGAAATACTTCCATCCCATGGGGTGGTGGGACGGGGACTTCCGGGCTTGGAACTTGGAGACCTGAAAATGCATATAAACACACATAAGTTTTCGTTGACTGACTTTGAGCACAAGAGGGAACCAACAAGCAACTCGACTCAAATGTGATGGAGGCTATACAGGCTGCGCAATAAAAAAACCTTCAAATTTTATCAGTACCTTGATACGACATCTGGACTGATCAAAGTCAGGGCATGGCTAATTCACAGATCGATTTTGAATTTTGCGTGCTAGGTTTTGCGGAGGGAGGAAAACCAGGAAACCCAAAGAAAATTAAACTGTCTTATCAAGGGATAGACGCAACAAATTTGACTAACATATGATGTCAAGTCGAATCGAACCCGACACCACAGAGGTGAGGGACAAGTCTAATATCACTACAACGCGCAAACCACATTTCCTTTCCCAAACTGAATTGAAAAGTAATGTTGTAAGGTAAATGGCAAAGTTGGTGCTCACTTTTGTCCATCATTCCAGAGCGTGCTTGATCTTGATCTGTTAGACTGGTGGTCAGTCGAGTGAGTACTGTGGATGTCTTCTATATAGTCTATCTGCCAGGCCTCTAAACGAGTAGCTGGATTGGTTCTTTGAACAAGAATGGACTCAAATATTCAGTAGAGTGCCATGCGCACTTCATATAAGTTATTCTAAGAGCAGTTTTTGTATGAGTGGAAAACATATCACGATAACGGTAATATTGAAATACCTTCCCATAAGAATGGTTATCGTATGAATGGAAAGCATACGGTACTAAAAAAAAAGGAAAACGCGCGCGTGTGTGCTGTGTGTAGTTATAAAGCACGCGGGGATTGGCAGAACACTTGAGAAGTGTTAGGAGAAGCACGACGCGCAGCGGAGGCTTCTCAACACTACTCGGATGTTCTGCTAATCCACAAGGGGTTTATAGCTACACACAGCACGCGTGCGCGCGTATTCTATTTCTGACATGACATGCTGTAATATTGAAATGCCTTCCAATAAGAATGGCTATCGTATGAGCGGAAAACATACGGTACTGGCTAACAGCACGTACACTGTACGATGCATGTCGTAACATTGAAATGGCTTTCGTTTTCTACCAGTATTTAATCCAATCACAACAAGTAGTTAAGGCTACGCTACGGTACGGCTACGGTACGGCTACGGCACGGCTACGGCACAGTTACGAATTCTTGATCGTTTCCCACTCATACAAACAAACACGTTATCGATCAAGCGTGAGCCAAGTACCTTGTGTAATAGACCCAGATCTCCTGACTGTCAATAAGTAAGTACATGATATTGAACTCTCTGCTATAGGTTACATCAATCACTTGGGTCAGAGGTGAAATAGTGGGAGGAGGAAGAACTGTGCTTAGAGTTTTACCAGCACGAGAAAGAAGACGAACGCTGGAAAAAATGATATCTCGTTAGAAAAATGAATTGCAATCTTTAAGGAGAGGGCTTCAGTAAAAGTCTTGAAAAAACAACGATTATCTTATAAGTTATGACTTAGAAGCAATACTGTTAACAGTAACTACTGAAAACGCTAAATGTTGCTAAACAATAAATGATTGTTTAACAAACGCTTTATTATTTTTGGGACATCCATGTGTTACCAAGATTTATGGGACTTTATCAAGCGGCAGCCATGTTGGTTTGAACAATAGTTTCCTCCACGCGTAGCCTCGCATTTATGCGGTTGAAACGGAGGCTTTTATTCCATGAGAATAAACATGGCCGTCACGTGATAAACACGGCCGCCACGTGATAAACATGGCCGTCACGTGATAAACACGGCCGCCACGTGATAAACATGGCCGCCACGTGATAAACATGGCCGCCACGTGATAAACATGGCCGCCACGTGATAAACATGGCCGCCACGTCCATTGAGTGCCTGTGGAAGAGGTATATATGAGCTTTTCCGAGGTTTAATCAGCAGGAATAAACAATAGAGAGGCTAGATGTTTACGTAGGAATCAAAATAAACGCAATTCAAATTGAGTTATTATACCTGCTGTCGCTACCAACAGCCATCACTCGAGATGACTTCCCATCACACGTAACGAGGGACATAGATCTAACACAACACCGAGACAACGCCCAGAAATCAACCATGTGGTTTAGAGCGAACACCTCAATCTGCCTGTTCGAGCAGCAGTAGAGGATCTTTGGAGACACATAGTCCATCCAGTTGATACCCTCGTGAAAGACGGGAAGGCTGAATTCAAAGAGAAAATATATCAATATGAAGACGCTTCATCCATATGCATCACTCGTAAATATAGCCAGAGAAGCTGGGAATACTCTAGGCTTAGATTTCCAGCCGTTGGGGTTTCCTGCGCCTTCGATACTCTTCCCCGCAATGGCTGGGCGCAGGCCAGTGCTGGAAATCTGGGCCTAAAAAACCATTGCTCTCTGATAATCAGACCTGTAGATCTCTTCCATGACATCCAGAGAAAACATTTTGACCATCCCATCCATTGATGACGTAATGACCACACCAGAAGCTTCTGGGTGTATCATGATCTTGGTGATGACCTGAAATTAGAACATTGGCCCATAAAACAACCTCTGGGCTGATCAGGGTCAGTACATGGGTAACTCACAGATCAAACCCTGAAACAACCTCTGGGCTGATCAAGGTCAGGACATGGCTAACTCACAGATCGAATTGGGATTTAGCGTGTTACTGTAGGTTTTCTGGAGGGAGGAAAACAAGAGAACCCAGAGAAAAAGTATTGTATCAAGGAAGAGACCCAAAAACTCTATTCATATGAGATGCCGTATCAAGAGATGCAACCAAAGCTCCCCTAGTCCAGAAATGGACCCACTTATATCGGTGCGCGCGGCGTAGACAGAGCGAGTAGCAAAAATAGACTGGTAAGAATGGTAACGATATGTTTTCTTCGTATTTCGTGCGCACGCGGCATTTACTTTTATTTTTTAGATATAAATTAATCAGTAGGTGAGAAAAAAGGGTCCAGGTCTGGACTAGAAACCCCCGAGGGAGAAGAGAGTGCTCTACTAGTACACTACTCTTGATTCCCAGTCTGTCTTGATTTCAACCTGATTCATTGCCAAACATTATGTACTAACCTTGGTGTGACTGCTAAATGTATGCACAAGACCACCACTGCGACTCCAAACATTCACTAAAAACAACAGATAGATATCCATACATGAAATACTTCTTTGGATAACTTACGCTATTTACACAAAACCAGGATCATAAATATACTCGAAAATCAATAGTAAAAACTTACCATCACAATCATTTCCTGTGGTTACCAGTAAGTTGCAAGATTTGGAATAAACGCACCCTGTCACTGGACCCCTGTGAGCACTGAAGAAAAACCGCCCCGGGTAAGAAAACGTCATGACAACAAGAAATACAACAACGAAGTTTCCATGGCAATAAATCACTATAGCAACAAGATACGAGTGCCAAGGTAATAAATAACAAAAATAAATAATAAAAAAGAAAAACATTTGATTGACTCTTGCGAAGCGCCTATTACTGCTGCAAATGCCAGCAGATCACTTTTATATTGGACAAAAGTCCTTGTTTTAACCAAGAATCACGAAAACCAACTTACTTTTTGACTTGAAAAAGCTCATTCCCCACCATGTCATAAGCAACAACGTTTCGTTCAGACAGACAATATAATCTCTAGAGACAGTGGTGAGAAAAAACAACAGGCAATTCTTAATATGATGAAATTTTTTTTCTACATGACAACACTGTATATGGATCAAAATCACTTACCTGCATTGCTACATCAAGCTCCACATGTTTTACCCAGCTACCGCCCATCTTTGGATACGATTCCCTGTAAAAATTAAACGCATTTTTTCACTAATAGTCCCCTTTACAGTCCCCTGCGCCATCTTGAAAGGTAACCGTGCCTGTGCAACAAAGCAAAAGCGGCGGTGACCTTGCAACGATAGAGACCTTGGATAATTATTCACATGTCACTATCATTGGTTACCGCCGTTCTCACTTTGATACACAGGCACGGTTTCCTTTCAAGATGGCGTAGGGATCTGTGCACGTGAAGGGGACTATTGACATTCGGCTGTCGAAGTCATATACGTACTTGCCGCAATAATTACAGCCGTTTTCATGGAACCGCGTACGCACGGAATCGCACAATTTACTGTCATAATAARATAAATTTTTGTGGACGTCAGTCAGTGTTTCCATATGGAATGTTTTGGAAACGCCTTGATATTGACTTACAGCAAAACGTACTTCGTCGCGACGACGACTCCGCGCGAATTCCTATTGAAAAGCACTGTAAAGAACAGACCTAGYGTGAATGCGAAAAATCTTGTCAAAATTCCAGACACGGTCACGGTGCAGCATTTATGATAACATTACCACCCTAATTAAATAGCTCATTTGTCTGTGAGGCAAGTCCTTCGACAACAAAATGTTTTTACACAAATACCAATTTTCTTCAAAACCTTTTATCAGCGACCTTAAAGCGGGGACACAAAGCRCGCATTATTACAGTCAATATTACGTGCAACAGATTTTGTCTGACATGGCTTGCAACATCGATTGCCGTAAACATTGCGCGCAATGTCGCAACGTACTACTCGCAATGCGTAACTGTACTACGCGCATCACATTGAAATTCAGCCATCTCAAGGCTTTTGTATGATTTTTTTGGACTTACCTTAAGACTAGTCCATAATTTGCCATGGGTCTAGAGTCACTGCTGAAAGACTTTCTTTTATCTTTGGTCAACTCACCAAATCTCCAGAACTAATTGAGTGGGAAATCGATAGACATAGCAATGATGTGTTTCACTGGTTATCTTGGGTGGGAACAGGAGAGGAGGGAGAGAAATGGAAGGGCAAAAAGCACAAGGAAATGGATGGAGAAAGAATGGAAGTGAAGGGGAAAATACAATGCTCTTTCAGAAGTCTAGAATATCTTTGAAGATGGGATGAGAGGGGAAGAGAAGGGAGGGGAATATACAATAACCATTTTGTCCAAGGAAAAGCTAATTTTGCAATTGGATCCTACGATGAAGTATAATCACTTTAAGAAATAAACACTTCTGGATTACCTTCATTCCTCCAGTTCCACCAGTGATGAGCTCATTTCTAGCAGGGTTAAACACCATACATAAAACAGAGTGCATTTCAGCAGAAACAGATATCACTTCATGGAAATTGAGATTAAAAACCTGTGAATCAACAACAGTAAAACTTTTTTATCATATTTGATTATCAAAAGGTCTAAGGAGATGAACGATTATTTTGAATGACAAAACGACACTTTTGAGTTTAAAGCAATACATGTTTCAAACAGGTTTGACTGTCATTGTCAGTTGCTAAGTACAGAGTGGCAAGATCAATGTATATGTAATAGAAATAAAAAAAAAACAAAAGAAAATCCTGAATTTGAATTATCAAATGTCTCAGATGGTATTGGGAATTAAATCATGCAGCATAAGTGAAAGCAAAAAATCAGATTAGCACAACAAAATTAAAATAATGAACAAGTGATGTTTTTATGATGGCCATGTGGTCAGCATTTGATGATTAATGCATTTTGTGACAAGAGAAACCAGGACGTTTGATGTTTGAGATTAGGTTTTAATATTAGGCTTCGTGCATAATGCTCAGTAAATCATGACAGGATAAAGGATAAACGTAATTTAGCACATAAAGCCTCATACTGAAACCTTTGTGCGCGACTTGGCAAAGCATGTCTCGGGAGTGGCTATTCGGAGCTCTAGATACCTTTAAAGCATACTCTTTAGACAGGGCAAAGTACACATTGAACTTCCTGGAGAAAATAATCATCCTCAAGACATTGAACTGGTATGCTGGGTAATTGAGATGTCTGGTAACTAGAAAACAAAAATAATAAAGAATCAAATCAAATAAATATGACAGTAAGTTAGTAATTAAGTTACTCTCTCCATGGTTCCAGGAAATAGTCCATACCACCCCTCTGAGGGAGAGGAGAATGTCTATGACAGAGGGGGATGCTGTTGTTGGTTGCAAATTATATATAATAGTATCCCAAGTTTCATATGCATAACTACAGTACATGTATGAAAAACGCAACCAACCAAGATAACAAAATTATGTACACATGCTGTGACTGGGTCAAAGGATGTCAATTATTTTGTAAAACAAACACCACCAAGGATTTATGAAAGTGGGTCAGGCTTAGATTTGAAATTATAACAGATTAGAGCTCTTGGGCTTAAAGTGTGTGTGTGGAAGAGAGGGGGAGGAGGGTGGGGACAAGGAGAAGGAGAAGGAGAAGGAGGGGAAAAGGGAGGGGCAGGCTAAGAGGTATTCAGTCCCCCCAGCTTCTCCTGCTTTGTGATTCCTGTGCCATGACACAGTGCTGCTGTGGCATATCATGGTATTTTATAGTCATATCAAATCTATCTTAGCTACACAACTATTATATATGTACCTGTGCTGTATACACTCTCATAAGACCAGCTGGTAACACCTCTTGAGTCTAGTATAACAAACTGTCTGAATCTGTTATTGAATGTCACTAAAACGAAAAGGAAAAATTATGATTCACAATTGGAACCATAATATAGATATGACACACAGAAGACCTTTCACCTCTGAAGCATCAGGTTCAATAACTGGATGCAGAAGGGCCAGTCATAATGGCCAATCAGTTGCCAGCCATGATCACCAGCCAAATTATTTTTAGTTATTTTCATGTACCTYATTTCTGGCTCAACGTTACTGATCAAAATGCCCAGCAAGCAAAAGTTTGATCCAAAAAGTTCCAATTCTGGCTGGACCAAAAAAATAATGTCCAATGACTGGCTGATATTTGAAGCCCTGCTCAGCACAACATTTAGGTTAAAATTATTAGGTGACTCCCTTGATTTAAGGATTTTCTTTTGGTTTTATTATGTTCCTTCCTCCACAAAACCCGACTGCTAAATTCCAATTAATTTGATATGCAAGTTAGCCATGCCTTGACTTTGACCAGCCCAGAGGTTGACATAAACAGTTGATTGCAGATAACATTGCAGTTAAGTGTTCAATGGAAACAATTTGCATTTGGGTATTTTTTTAGCTGTTAGAATGTCTTGTTGCTAGGTTGAATTTCAAGCGCTGTTAAGAAGCAAGTGGAGACAATGTCTCGCCTCTAATTATACACGCACGGGAAGTTGTTAGCACAGGCAGATTTAAAATAAATTACCGCTTAACCAAACAGAGAACACCATTCCCACACCTGAAATGGACAAGGTATTATGGTAAAATATTAAATTTAAAATATTCTTTGGCCGCAAGGTTGATGAAAACGATGAAATAAAGGAACTTATCGATATCCCCCACTTACTTTTTGCTTAACAAATTTGTGTAGTACATGTAGTTGTAACACTCTTCAATTTTGACTTGCAACATTTTAAAACTTAGATTTACGACTAAACTCTTTGAATTACTGCCACAACCCAAAACACACACAAAAAATTTTTTTCCATTTCATTTTTAAAATTTCCAAATAGAATCATTAGTTATGAATAATAAAATAAAAATCATAGGATAAAAGCTGCAAATTCAGTGTAAAAAGACGTTTACGACCCGTACAATCCAGCCAACCGAAGTCCAGTCCGTTCCATCTACGTACGGTTCCTGATTTTCCAATTTWAAAAAAACGCTCAAAATCCAGGCATTTAGTTTTTGCTATACATAAAGGTTACCCATGGCATTTCAAAAGGTTATAATTCAAAGACATTTTTTTGGTGATTCAAGATCCAGTCATTGACTGAGACCCAGTAACTTCCATTTCAGTCACAACCAATCCATTATAGTCACATCCAAGTAACATGCAGTTGTATTTCAGTAGCATTGTTTCGAAGGAAAATTATAGTCGTAAAAATCTTTAGCAATCTACAAGTCACACATGATGTATACAGACACATGATGTATACAGTCCTTTGTAAGACCTTTGCTGCTGATGGGCTTCACAGGACTTTATACCTTCTCTGAACTTCATGTGAGAAAGCGTGTAATTAGAGGCGAAACATTGCCTCTGCCCCTAGCGAAAGTTGACAATCGATTTAACGAGACTTTCAAACAATTAAAACAAACGTGCAAAATATTTTCATTAAACACTTAACCACAATCTGCTGTATCACATTCATAATTTCTGCAATCATCCCCTCTAACAGCTAGGGTCATAACCAGATGGGTTCTTGCAKGGTGGGTGTGCACAGGGAATGGAAATGTAACTATCTTTTAAAGGATTGCAACGAATTGCAGAAGCAAAGAAAAGTAATTTTTTTAAAGTTAGCGTGGGCCTCCAGCTTTAGGGGCAGGGGRGGAGGGGGTGCATGTGCACCCCCTTTGGTTTATGGTCATGTCTACTATACTCTAAATTATAGAAATACTCCATTTTACATTTTTGTTCAGTGACCATGGATAATAGTCACAAGTTGAGGCTGGAGTTTCCACGCATAGTGAAACTATACTTTTTTTTTTCATTTTGCAAAGGCAACTCCAACCTGAGCTTGGAACTATTATCCGTGGTCACTGAACAGAACTGTAAAATGGAGTATTACAAAGGAGAATAAATTTTGAGAGGGCTAAAGCTCCATCACCGGCTATTTTCTTGTTATCACTACAAAATATTTAGGGGGAGAGGGGTAAGGCTTTGTGACCCAAATTTGGCCCTGTTCAAACATTTTGTCAGTAGCATTTATATTATAGCAAAATAATACTAACCTCCTCCAATTTCACAGTTCTTTGAAGCATGCTTGTAGCATCCTATACTCTGAAATCCGTATGGAACGTGAAAATATGAACCTTTTGTTCTGGAGAGACCAGTCTCTTCTTCATCTTCTTCATCACTCAGCAAGATACTTCTTGATAATGAACTATCTTCGCTTCCCTCATCAGTTTTCTCTGGAGATTCGATGCTCTCTTTCGTATCTGATCCAGATTTTGAAAGTTCGGAGTCTTGGCAAACGTTATAGGTTTTTTCTTCGTCAAAGTCATCTTTTGGTTCCATGGTGTTATAAATATAAAATACTCTTGTCTGATATTGTCATGGCGGTTGTCAGTGATTTGAAAAGCCCGCCAAACCCTAAAACTGCCTTGTGACTAGCACTGTTTGTAATTGAAACTTTATCGAAAACAAATTATAGCTAATGTCTGTGCTCTAAAGAACTCTAGCACATATTTAATAAGCTTGAGGTCAAATATTCTGCATTAAAATCAAAACTTCAAGGAATGAAGCAGTACTGACATTCATGGATCCAATTCCTTTGACTTACGTTGAAGGCGTTGAGCAATCTTTTCCCTCAAATTACTCAGTAGCAGTAAATTAGTAGCAGTAGTAGTAAATTAAACAGCGTCTCTAGGAAAGCAATTAAGTAGCAGGATTCTATAACAGCTGATGTCCAACACAAAATTTAGATCGTCTTCATTTGCTCTGCGTAGGCATGACAATACGAACTACTCATTCTGTGCCAGTTCCGTATTTGAAACCAACTTCTTTCCAAAATATCCTCTCTCCAATAGATTCTAATTCATCATCAATTAATTAGAAGTATCGTTTGATATTGGTTTAGAAGAATAAAAGAAGACCAAGTTCACTCACTTTGKGCTTCGAGATAACTTGTTGCTATGTAACAATTATCTCCCTAGCCCTCCCCACTAAATGCAGATGAAAATTTTAATATTTTCTAAAACTTTTCCTGATTCAAGATTCAAGATGTGCGATTAGATTTCTTATTACTTTTTTATCTGATTCAAGTTTTAAACCAGCTTAAGGTCCCGTAGAAGAATCACTTTCGGGGAGCAGCATAATTGCGAGTCAAATCACCCTCCCCTCCCTTTAAATGTCAAAGTTTGCAAAACAGAAAACCCTTCATCTGTGACCCGTTCGTGTTACATAATAAAGCTCGTCAAGTTACAAAGCTTCAAGGGAGCTGTGGCAGAATGCATCCAAAATGTATTCCTCTGGCTGTGTTACTGGTAACTTCATGTTTTGGTGGGTATATGTTTGTGATCTGTCTATCTGTATATGAAGATTTGTTAAACAGCTGATTTGATAATGCACAGTAATCAAATTGTGCATTCCTATGTACAGTCATAGCAGTCAGTAGTTTGCAAACCGTAAACCCTCCATATGACTAGGAGTCGATCATTCTTTGAATAAATTCCACTGATCTCTCGAGTCTTACAGTAGTAGATAATAAAGTACATAAGAAATGCTTTGCTTATGTATCGTAATGTTTTATTTCTCGTTTGCATAGCAGCTTACATCGTTGTAGTAAATGGAGCATGTAGCGAGGCAGATCAGGCGAATGAAGTGCAGAAATGCGAGAAAACCTTTGTGGACACGATGATCAAGAATTCTAGTGCCAATTGCACGTGAGTACTACGAATAATATTTCAAATGCCGTAACAGAATTAAGTGTATATATTCTCATTGAAAATATGTACTTGATGTAAACAAATCTTGTAATGACGTATTTAAAAACCATTTTCTACTATCTTTACACATTAATTTTAACCCTGTGACTAATGCCTGATTTACGATCAAAGACATAAGCACAGTCTACATAGATGTTGCTGTGCTTGCAGCCCCCACAACGGCACAGATTCAAGGGAAGGGGTGGGTGTGATGTGGCTGGGCAGCTGGATCTAACCACTTGGGCGCATCCCCTTGTCAGTCAATGCTAGCTTCTCTAGTTTGACCTGCATCTTCTTAATTTCTTCTCTCAAACAGTGTAGAGGTTGGTAAAATCCATCAATGCCTTGAAAAACTGTCAAAGAGTTGTTACCCCCAAGTCAATGACAAGGTGATCAAGCAGATAGTATCAATTGGAATGACACAAATCCAAGCCCTTCAATTCTACTGCATGGAAACAAAGTTAAATTACACTTGGTCTAATGTTGCACCAAGTGTTAAGAATCAGCTGTCTTCTTGTGCTGTGTCTTTTGATGAAACTGCTAATCAGTGCAGTAAAGACTTCAGGTTGAAGATGCAGAAAACTCCAAAAGATAGTGCTGCAGTATACAGGTATTGTAGTGATTAACAAAAATAATTAAATCAGAATTTTATGTACAACAGGAAAATGTAGACCACCCTATATATAGTCACTGTAGTCATTTCTCAATGACCATATCTCCCCATGATGGCATCCAGTTTCCACAATCCAGTCCAAGGGACAAAGAAATTGTTAAGTGGTCCCTGGGGATGAAACATAATTATAATACAAGGCCATATGATTTTCTATATGTTCTTGCTGCCGTCAAATAATATATAATAATATGTTAAATAATATAGAATAATAATATAATATGTTTATTATATTATTAACATTGTTAATAACAACCTTGTTTTGATGAATGCACTCAGCAAGGAAATTAATGAGAATGACTATTGAAATTTTTTTTCACAACATTTGTTGTCTTTCTTATATTAAATTGTAAAATCCTTTAAGATTGACTAGTTCAAAAAATTGTGTAGTTTGAATACACTTATCATCCTTATTAATAATAGATTGATAATCCATTCTTAGGATTATAAGTTTCATTAATTTTTCTCTTTTCTTCYGATACAACAGGAGTTATGAAGATTCAAACAAATGCATCCAGCGGGCAGCTTCAAAATGTCCAACCAGTAGTGGGACAACAAAAACCACCACTGCTTTTTGGTTTAATGCAACATTACTATTAATTGCTTCAATTGCTAACATAATTAAAGCATACTAGTTAACGTTGCTTTGTTAAGAAGCAACTGGACCAAAACCCTAAAGTAATAGCAGAGCTCCCACGCACAACTGTTATTTTGTATTTTGCATTATTCTTTTYGTCTCAGTTGTTCTTGTTAATAAGTTTAACTGAATGTATACTTTTTTTGTATAATGTCCTGCCTCGCATCCAAAGTACCTTTTTGAACAGGGTCTTCTATATTTCCATTTGGTATGAAAGGATGTAAGTTTTTTTTGGATGGCCCAAGTTTTGGACATGCATTGAAGATGCTCCAAGATAAAAAAAGTATTCATGTAAATTAGTTTGTAATAAATAAATAAATAATGTTAAGGTATGTTGGTGAAAAATTGTTGAGATATCTAAAGGTTCATTCAAGTCAGAAAAAGCACAATTTCTTCATTAGTCTGAAAACTTTTTCTTTAACAGAGCATATTCTCGCAATCTGATTGTTTGACAGCAATGATCAGTAACAGTTCAGACACATAGAATGACTAATCACTTGTGCAAGGAGCCAGCACACACTTGAAACTATTTTTCTCGTAAGCTTTTTCCTTGTTTTTAGATCTTTTTATTATTATTTTGTTAATGTAAAACAATTGCTCATAGATTTCCATTGACTGTCTTCTTATTGCTTACTATCAATCACGTGACTCTTTGAAAATGACTGGGCCGCAAACAAGCGCTTGACTGAGGGACAACTAGCAGATGTTAAGTCAAAATATGTCAAAATAAGTCCTCTAGCTATTGTAGTTGACTATTTCTACAACATGAAACCAGAAAACAAGAGATCAAAACAACCTCCAAGATTCTACAAGCCATTAAAAATGCAGCTACTACCAAAAGTGACATCTATTGATAGCACCTTATTGAACATAGATGATGTCTTAAAATGTTCAAAACTTTACAGTGAAACCACTAATAGCGCTCATGATTCCACTTGAGATTTGAACATTTAAGATGCAATTTATGATGAATAAGGGGATAGTTAAGATGTAATTTATGATGAATAAGGGCAATTTCTTAACTCTACTATATATACTTGCTAACGTTTAACTTCATAAATAATCAATACGAATTTATTATCAATTTTATATTAAATTGATAAGCAAATGCTAATTTATGCAATTCTATTGCAATTACGTGTACTGTGAACTTCATTACATTTCTCTTAGACATTTTTGGGGGGTAAAATAATGTACTTCTTAGAGTGGTTTTCAAAAACCCGTGAAATACACTTTAGCGTATTACACTTTATTGTCTGCATTTTCTTTTGATTTTCTTTTGTGTATTTGGTGTATTACAATTTATTACACCTTAGTCATTACACTTTGTTTCACGGGTTTTTGAAAACCATTCTATGAGCTTATTAATCTTATTAATTAATCATTAAAATTTATTCAAAGTTTCCTTTTAACAGTACATCAATCTAAACGAGTTGGTCTTTGTATGATTCCACTTAGTTGGTTAAATGATAAAGAAGATAACCAAATGCTGTAAGAGAAGCCAGGCATCTTACACTCAAAAGCCTACGAAGTGTGTTGACGTTATTACGAACCTCCATCTCCTCCATCTCATCCTTGGCAGACGGGTCAATGAGTGGCTTCATTTGTGGAGCGATGGCCAGACCAGTGAAAGGAAAAGTCGCAAGCATGATAGATCCAGCCATAAGGAAGGGCAAATTCTTTTCTTYATCCATGAAGTAAAGAGCAACACCTGATAATCCACTTATGATAGCGAGACCAGACTGCATACGATGGTGATAGCTGTGCTTGAGGCGAAGGATCTTCAGTACACAACCATACGAGTGTTCATCCATCGAGGGAAATTCTACCGCTAAAACGTAGAAAGAAGCTCCAACGAAGACTCCGTTGGTTGCTACGCATACCATCTTCAGTCCTGGAATGATTTTTTCGACATCCATGGCTAAAAAATGAATTTTTACGACGATCAAAACCAAGAGATTTGATTCTATTTTGTGACAGTCTCGAGGCTCCTGAATCTATAGTAGTTCCAGTCTCCTCCTCGTCATGGTTARCAAAGAAAGCCCAACTTGATAAACAGCACAAACTCTTTTTTCACTCGGTGTTTAAATTTCCTTCTCATTCATTTCTATTCAACAAGGAAAACGCAGTCCCAGCAGTAACTGCTAGTTATTATCAACTATTTCAGAAAGCTTGGTGAAGGTTTGGTTACATGTTGCATACCAAGCCCGAAATGCGCCATGGGCGCCGTGAATGCAATGTCACAGCACTGGAATTTTCCAAAGCTTTGTCTGCCTGTTTTTGATTACGGTATATTTTTTAGCAATTTCATGCAAAATACATATGAATATACAGTTAATGTCATTAACGTTGTCCACCGAAAAAAGACATTTACACATTTACATATTTACACATTCAGACTAAAAGATATATCACGTGTTTCATTATGTATTTTTTGCCTCGCGTGCGTCAGCCTGAACTTTAAATGTAAAATTCAACTCGTGAATCGAAAATCCAAATGCCCTGACCATTTAGTGAGGACTTAAGATGGAGAATGGTATTGCAGTATTTGTTTTATGCCAGAACCTTCGAGGAAACACGTGATATTTCTTTTAGTCTAAATGTGTAAATGTTTAAATTAAGATGCCTAGTAAAATGAGTTGTTTTACGCTTGTTGGATGTAAGTTATTTATTTCTTGAGTTAGACACTGAAGACAGTTGAAATTTGTTCTTTCTTTCTCATACGAGAATATCAATTTTATTTCAACATATACGTTATTTTTTTATTACGAACGACAGTAAACATTTTGTTTTCTATTTTATTTTTTTTTACTATAAGTGACTATTTTCTCACTATTTCGTTTTTCCCCCGCATTATTTATGTAAGGATATTGAAACTTTTTTGAGGCACACTTCACTTCTAGAATATTTTGAAAGCTTATAATAGTGCCTATATATATATATATATATATATATGATATATAACATGTCGACTTAATTAGGTGCATGTATATAACTTTGAATGCTAAGTAATACAAAGATTACAAAGTCTAACTGATTAATTAACCATCTTAAATCTTAGAGTTGTGCCGGGTCAAAAACGAATTTCTGATTCCGAAATTTCAGCACTAGCTTTCTTTTGATCCTCGGGAATTGGGAGGTGTACATCCATATTGGCTCCGTCTGTGTTCTCTAGATCAAGAGGTTCAGTCAATCTGTTTATCTCAGTTTACTTGCAAAACCGCACCTACTCTTCAGTTCCACAAAGGCATCAATTAGCAAATAAAAATGAAAAAGGCAGTTCTTTTATTCTTTTCACTGATCCTTTATCTTTTCTTGCACCACTCCGCAAAATGCTTACAATTGTAAGTTAGCAAGTTGTAGTCATTCGTACCTAGCTTTGAGATGGCCCTCGAGCACACTTCATTGGGCGGATAGCATTCTTTTTCATGATAGCTGACTTTGTAAAACGGTGGTACAAAGTTCACCCATTCCTGTGTTACTCCAAATTCATAAGTGTTATGGATGACGTTAACCTTGCTTTCTTCCTCTTCATGCCACAATACGATACAGTGGTGCCTTGGATGGACGATAGTACCATAAAATACAATCTGGTCTCCAAGGTGCAAGTCTTTAATACTAGCCACCGCCCTGTCATTTGGTCTGATTACTCTGGTTATTTCACGGCCAACATATTTGCCAATCTGGGAACCTATGAGTTTTCCAACAGTGCCACAGATTATACCAACGAAGATGCCTCCCCAACCCGCTACCAATCCACCAAAAGCTGCGGGGACGCCTGCACATAGGGCTTCAGTGACCCGCTTGGAGACTTGCTCCATAAACTCGTTCCCTGATAGACTTCCATCTTTTCTTGCATCGTACAGCTTCTTCAAATCATAAATCGTCAAACATCCTTCTATAATAACCACTAGACCAAATCCAACCCATTGGCAGTTTTTTGCAACTTTTTCCATAGCTTCTGCAGAGCCAACCTTTCCTATATTTTCGAAAGAAGCCTTGGCAAGCCCTTTTGTGACGATTTTTGTTGGAATGTTGCCAAGTACCATTTTTACTTGGTCACTCACCAACTTCATTAGTGCGACGACCTGCTGACTCTTCTTTATCCCCTTTTTGCAGAACGTCACAAATGCCTCGCAGTTGTCTCCAAAGAACCGATAGCCAACATCTCCTAGTCGCGATCGAGCCCTTGCTATTACAAGCCTGAGAGGGTTTTCTTTCAGTATATCTTCTTCATAGTCCATACGGTACAAGATTCCAGATTCTTGTTTCAAATGGATCCACTGTTCTTGGATTATGGCACCAGTTTTACTTATACCTTCTCCGTGCCAATGAATTACTTGGACCTTGCCGTTTGCAACATCAATGTCTAACACCAAGGCGTGATGCCAAATGATGTACGGTCTTTCCCATGCTATGTGATCGCCTGGTTTTAGGTAATCACCGAACAAGTCAAGTCTTTCTATCTTTGTTTTTCTTGGATGTACAAAGTGAACACCATCTGTCGTGTCCAACCTCTCAGCTTGGTAGAATTCCTCCTTACCGAGTTCGAGAACGTTAGCTTCGTCTTTTTTGACGTCATCCAGGATGAACTCGGCTTTTACATATTCTCGCTCACATTTCAAACAAAATGAACCCAAATGTTCATGGTCACGGTCACGGTCAAGGTAATGCCTGAATTTAGTCGCATCATTGTTACCACAAATGCATCGAGCTCCGTTAGCAAGCTGCACAGATCCTGCCATGGTTCCTGGGTTGTAGTATTACTCTCTTCTTAGCTTTGGGTTGAACTAACAGAAGATTCTGAAACTAAAACACAGAGCTTCTATTAGGTTTTTTTAGTATAGGTAATAGGACTACATGCTGTCCAATTTGGAAATAATTGGATGAAAAAAGTTCTGAGGACTGGCAAAATTGGAAGAGGATTGGCAGTCAGAGGAATGTTTTGAATTCAATTATTTCCAAATTGGACAGACATGTGGTTCTATTGTCCATTAATTATATCATCCCAAACTATACTAGACTGATTCCATAAGTCATTGTTTTCCCTCGAAAGAATGCGAATGGAAACGATCCAAATTAATCTTTAATTTGGACAGGAAAGAGAATTTGAAAATAATATAATAGTTGCTTATATGGGATTATAAAGTGACGATAGAATTTACAGATTTATTGGCCTTCAAATTTTTCAATGAACAAAATACTAAAGAAATAAAAAAATCATACAAGAAAGAAGGACCAAGAGGGTGGACGTGAGAGTCCCATGCGAGGCACCTCCCCACTAAACCGATAAACAAGTAAAAAGACTTAGGCAAAGGAAAAAAATGAAAAAAAAAWAAATTAATTATTAATTCAACTGGGGAGTTTGTGAGTAAGATGGTATCATCTACCTCTGCAGGGAAACTTTGAAATAATTACTATCTTCTATAAGCTTTTTTTATTGTTACCAGCCAAACATGGGCAATCCGGTCCCCAAACCACTTGTATTGTTTTTAACCTCAGCCTGTTATTTCTGGGACTTTCCCTATGTGCACAGATCATGAGGGAATATCCCAAAGCACCCTTTGTATCACAAAGGGAATCCTCTCTTTAACTTGTGAGATTGCTAATTTTGGGATCTTCCCTTATGCACAAAACATGAGGGAATGCCCCAAAGCAATTGTGAACCTCTTCTGAATTTACCTTTYACATCACAATCATGAGGGAATCCCCCCTTAACTTGTGAGCCTGTTAGTTTTGGGACTTTCCCCCTTTTCATGCACATTTATGAGGGAATCACCTCAAGGCACTTGTATGAACCTGATAATTCTGCTCTGRAAAAGTTATTCCTTAGACAATTTGGGTGAAAGTATTAGCCGTTCATCCAAGGTTGAGGAAAAAATCGGGTTGAGTTGGCATTGCAATGCATTTTTCGGGCTGTTTTAGGGGACATTTTTCCAATGTGGTGTCTATTTACAGGGTCATAGCAAGAATTTTGCCTTAAGGGAAGGGGGGCAAACCTGTTTTCAGAACATTGGTAAGGCTGCATTCATAATGTATGATAGAGGGGGGGGGGGGGCAGGTGGAAGTTTGAAATATCCAGAATAATTCTTAACACCCCCCTTAAAGTCATGCAAAAAAATACGATCCCCCTAAGCAATGCTTGTTGCTTCTTCCAAAAATTGTGCATCCCCCCATTTTTCTGATAAAAATTTGCCCATCCCCCCTTTTTCCAACCAAAATTTTCCTGATCCCCCCTCAATTTCACCTGCCCCCCCCCC